ACAATACTATGTAATCAACTAAATAAGCAAAAATAATCCATTCCTCAAGAATGAATTAATGAAATGAAAGTTCAAAACTTCAAACTATCTATATCTAAGTTTTTGGTGTTGCACTCTTGAAAAAGAGATTGTATAAATACAAAAATAATTCTTTTTTATCCAAACTTCTCTAATTCTATTACAAACTTATATAACCTAATTAACAATCCTCCCAAACTACATTCTCTTCCACTATTACTCACTACTTTTATACTATCGTATGTTTCTTATTATGAAATTAGTGTATAAAACTAATAATGTATAAAAAGGGCTTCAGGGCTGGGTCGTTTGGGCTTAATAGTCTAGGGCTCTAGGCTAGATGGGTCTTGACAGGTCAGGCCACCCCATCACATAGTGGGTTGACCCGTTGACTCGTGGCCCTTATGTGCCAGGCTAGGCCTTTTGGTAAATGGGATGAGTGGGCCCACACAAACTCATAAATTTACGGGCTAAATGATGATGCCCAAGTGCCCAACCCTAAACATAATAAAATAATTTCGTAAGAGAATTTTTTTATTATGAGAATCTATTATACGAGAATCAGTCATTAAACATTGGACCCCATTTAAATGCACACAACATGTACCCCATTTAAAACGAATACCAAAAGTTGGAAGATTACAACATTTGCATGTGGTAGTGAAGTTCATTGATTTAAAAATTAATTTCTCCTGTATTTCTTAGCAATAAAAGTTATGATTTGCCATAACAACTTTTAATATACAATTAGCTTTAATTGTTTGGCCAAGGGAGGAAGAAATTCTCTTGCATCCATATTCACAGAGTTTACAGTGTATACATTGGAATTACTACCAATCAACAAGACCAAGTACATTTGGTATTTCCAGTACAGGCTAATGTAAAGATGAGAGATTCCCAATCTGGGGAGAACAATGTTTTAATGACTGATTCTCCCAATCTGGGGAGAACAACAAAATGAGTGAAACAAAAATTTAGTGTCCAGTGAAAAACGCTCAAAGTTCTGAGCTTTGGCCCTTTTGTTGAGGTGTTGCAAAGTGCGCATTACAAACAAAAAAGAATGACACCCCATCCCTGAGGGGCCCCCAACACCGACCGGACGACACGCTGGGAGGATGTAAATTGGTCTATAATCACAATCTGACAGATATAGAGTGAGGCTCCATCCCCGGTACTTGCAGAGGCCCTCTGTAGAGTAACCTCTCATCGCAGTTGCCGGGATTCGAACCCGGGACCTAATTCTTGTGGCACTCCCTCGCTACCAATTGAACTACGCCCACCGGTGCAAAGTGCGCATTACAGGACACATGTTTGAGAACAAATTCTATGCGAATGGAACTATACTACATGTTGGGAGGTATTTTGAGGGATCATGTTGCGAATACCATTTATGCCATATGTGAAATGGGTTGAAACTGATTCTTTCCATGAAGGAATTATATTGTTGGCCATCAACTTTCATTTTTCAAGCACTGGTCATTTGGATGTTGAATTTTTTCACATAGGGTCCTTCCTTCCCGTCACTCTTTGGCAAATTTGCGTACAATCTCTGGTTGAACAAGAAAATGTAAAGGTCATATGCTACTTTTTCATTAAAAGAACAACAGTATGGGCCGCAATGCTCCTATTTTCCCCAATGCTATCTACTCTCTCATGGGTTTTCGCCTTTAGGTTTACAACTGAGGGATCTGCCCCAAGCAGTTGACACAAATTGGATCTAATAGCTTCCTTGTGAGGGCTTACCTTTGGTTTCTGCAGTATCAAAGTGGCGTCTAAATTCCCAAGTTCATAACCAGCATCGTGCATCAGCCGCACCTGATACAGACGAAAAGCCAGTTGCTTGGAAATGTTAGATCATGCATCATATTATTACAAATTTACAATGAGTACAAATTATTAAGATTTAAGCTTCCATTCTAAAACACGGAAGTATACTCGCTTTTATATGTTTGTTTTTCTCTATATTTCAGAGATGTGAAATGGATTTACATGCCCACAACATGTTTTGACGTTTTGTTGCTGAAACAAACCAATTTTGAAATGCTAGCCCTTAGCCAATCTTGAAACAAATCTTATTAAGACTTGGGCTGCATGTTACAAGGCCAACATGAGGAGCCCAAGGTTTTATATTAGGTTAGGGTGGGATGCCATGAGGAATGATCCTGTCCAGCCGGAGGGACATGATCTGCCGTCCGGCCGCCGCCGTTTGGGGGTTCCCGGTTGAATTTTGTGATGAATTTTTTTGGGAATGTTCCTCATCAATTCTAGTTTATCCACAAACAATTTCAGCTAAAAATTCGATCGGGAAGACAATCAAATGATTTTTGGAAGATAACTGCGCCCTTTATATACATATACAACGCAGTTATCTTCCAAAAAGAAGAATCATTTGACTGTCTTCCCGATCAAATTTTTAGCTGAAATTTTTTGTGGATAAACTAGACTTGATGAGAAATATGCACAAAAAAATCATCAAAAACTCCACCAAACGGCAGCCGGACGGCACCTTCTGTCCATCCGGATGGACAGGATCTTTTTCCGGGATGCCATAACAAAAATGTCCTATGTGATTTAGAAGTGATCATATCCATTGACTGTCCTAAATCCAAAGCAGCGATAAATAATCATAGCATATGGAGTGAATTATAATCAAATCAAAATCTTACGGCTTCTTTGATGAAAAGAGATGATGGTGCGCCTTTCCACTTAGGGTCTGTGTCCGGGAAAATCTGGCCAATGTCCGGAAGCCCCAAAGCACCCAAAATTGCATCAACAACACAATGAAGTAGCACATCACCTACCAAAAAATCAGGTGAAAGGAGTTACTTGAAACGCAAAAACACCAATCCGGAAGGATATGCTGAGAATACTGACCGTCCGAGTGAGCTTCACAGCCTCTATCGTGCGGAATGTTTATCCCGCCAATAATAAGCGGATATCCAGGCTCCAAACGGTGTAGATCGAAACCGTGCCCTACTCTGAAGGGTAGCGTCTTTGAAGCAGTAGCGGCGCTGGTTCGAGGTTCAGATTCCACGGTGCCGCCGGTTGCGGAGGCGACCACCGCAGGTGAGATGGGCTGAGACACCGCGAGCGACTGTACGCGCGGATACAATGAAGTTGATTGCCAAGAGATGGTCGATCCGACGCTGCTGAAAGAGCTCTGTCGTGGCGTTACAGAGTTTCTGGATAGCAGAGCCGCGCACTGAAACGACGACGTCGCCATGGCCATAGTTGTGGGAGTTCTGTCTGCCGAGTAAATCTTTGAAATTCCAATTCTAATAATTTCAGTATTTGAACAAATAAAGGAAAAAGGTACAAAAATATCCTTCTAATATAGGTGCGGGAGTAAATATATCTCTTCTATTTTTTATAACAAATATATAATCTTGAAGTTTACGTAGAAGTGCATATCAGCATATATACACCTGAACTTTTAAAAGGTGCAAAAATACCCCTATGTTCCTATAAACAAGCAAATTTACTCATATTTATTTAAATAAATAAAATAAATTTCAAAAATACTAACAATAAATTATATATTCAAAATAGAAAAATAAAAAAATTAAGATTTTCAGAATAATTATTTTTTTGTGTTATAATATTTACTCTTTAATTTTAAATTGATTTTTTTGGTAAATGAAGCACTAAAAATTCGTAAACATTAATTTTAGTGGTTTTGCGATATTTTAAACACATTGTTACATTTTTTGAAACAACATTCTTTGATTTTATTTAATCTTAATAAAATTAAATTCACTATTTTGTAATCTTTGACTATTTATCATCATACAAAATATGTAATTTTGCACACCTATATTACAACGGTATATTTGCACCTTTTCCCAACAAATATACCTTTAATCAAGCCTCAACCCCCAGCAACCTACCCTAGTGCTGGACTCGGGCCCGGTTCGGGCCTGGGCCCGGCCGGGCCTCGGGCCAGGAAAGGGAGGCCCGAGCCCGAACTTCCGGTGGCCGGTTCCGGTCCCGGTTCCGGGCCAAACCGGGCCGGGCCGGGCCGAACCGGCCCAATTAAGTAATTTTTTTTTTGTTCTCCTATTTAATCCCCTATCCCTCCCCCTCAACCCCAAACCATCCCAAACCACCTCAAATGGCCCAAAATACCTAATCCAACCTAAAACTTAAAAAAAATTCAAAAAAAAAAAATTAAAATCCGGCCCGGAACGGGCCCGAACCGGCCCGGACCGGGCCCGAACCGGCCGGGCCGGTTCACCAAAACCTGGGCCCGGGCCCGAACCGCCCAGCAGCCGGGCCGGGCCGAAACCGAACCGGTGGACCCACCGGGCCCCGGGCCGGGCCGGGCCAAACAGTAATCGGGCCGGGCCGGTTCCGGGCCGGGCCGCCCGGCCCGAGTCCAGCACTGACCTACCCCAGCCGTGAGCCACAACCACCAGTCGCCAACCACCACCATCGCCGGTCGCCGGTCATGGCAACTGGTGAACAATCTCTGTCACAGGAGAACTGTAACAGCTGCCTGATTTATTGCCGCCGCCGGTCTGTCCCGCAATCAACAACTGTCCCGATTGTTCAAGTGAACTAGAAGGACAATTAATTAATTAGATTAGAGGTATTAAAGATATAAATTAATGTTTAATGCTATTGAAAAAAATTCAGACATTTTTCCGTAAGTATTACCGAAATATAATTAGTGGACAAAAATATTAAAATAGTTACTACATAAGTTTCTATAGTGATAGAGTTGAACACAATAATGGTCATTAAAGTTACTATAGTAGTCACTAAGTCATATTTTTGTCCGCTACTTTTATTTCACTCATATTTTTGTCATTATTTCTTAAATTTACTCCTATTTGTGCAAATCATGTTTATGTTTGGAACTCTCCAATGAAAAGTGGCATAAATTTCTAAAAGCCCAAACGAGTAGCTAAACTGTTTAAAAGCCCAATGAATTAGGCCATATAGCCCAACATCTAATAGAGTCGTTGATCCATGTGACACTGATCGGCTGAATCGGGTCGACATCTTACTCCGATCAACGAAGGTTTTAGGGTCTTCTTCAGGTGTGTTCCACCTAAAATCTCTCTCCTGACCTCTTCTTCTGCTTCTGATTTTTTTGTAAAGCGGAGAAAGGGGAAGGGGAGAGGTGTTAGCTTCCGACTTTTAGATTTCTGGATCGTCCTCAACCATGGCTGCTCCTGAAGCTCCCGTTAACTATGTCGGCGTAGCTAGAGATTCCGCCGCTTTCCGTCTCATGAAACAAATGGTGTGCTCTCTCTGTCTCTCTCATACACTCGCAGCACTTGATGCATCACTAAATATAAGTAATCATAGAGAAGCATTGGTTTTTATGGTTTATAGGTGTCCTGAATTCTACTAGCCGAAGGTCTGATATTTCCCTTTTGGTTGGAATCGTTTCAATTATATTTTCTATCTTTTGCGTTTTTTTTTTGCTTAAAGAAAGTTTTTTTTTTCAAATGGTGCTGAAGAAATTTTAGTTGTTTGGGTACAAGTTATTTGATCAACATTTTCTTTAACTAAAGTCTCTGTTTTCTTTAATTTTTATTGGCCCTTTTAGAATTGAGCTTATAGCATCCATTGCCTTAATGCCTTTTAGTATGTCTGATCAACTAAACAATGCATTTCAGTAGCTTGTAGGTATAGCCTATACGGCTTATAGGATATAGGAAAGACACAACTCCCTCAAAGATTTTATATCGTTGAGAGAATAAAAACTAATACCTCCCGTCCATCTTAAAGGTTCCCATAAAAAATGGCATGGTTATTTAAACAATAATATAATAAGGTTATTTGTGTATATTTTGAGAAATAGTTTTGATGAGTATATAATATAATGGGGTTATTGATGATAACTGTGATGTTTTAGATGTATTATTTTAATTTTAATAATTGGTGACTAAATTATCATTTAAGGGTGTTAATCATTTCCTAAAATAGAAATGAGAACCTTTATATGGGATGTCCAGAAAAAGAAAAGTGGGAACCTTTGAATGAGACGGAGGGACTAGGGAGTATCTCTTAAGACGCTTGCAGTAAATAATTTGTTACATGCATTACATGAAATGATCAATTTCTCTTTTATTATTTGTATTGATATAAGTCTATGACATCTTATTTTATTTTCAAAGATTCTATTTTTCTCCAGTTGTATTCATGATTGTCCATGATTGGGCGTATCTTTTAACTTAGTTAATATGTTGGCATACTGAGTATGTCTAATATATCCATATGCTTATCACAGGGATGGGAAGAAGGAGAAGGTCTAGGAAAGGAAAAGCAAGGTATAAAAGGATATGTCAGGGTTAAGAACAAACAAGATACTGCAGGTTCTTTTTCATTCCTTTCTTTATGTTCTTTTACTTTAATGTGCTAAAAATAAACTGCTCTTGCCAATATAATCTTGATATGGATTCTATTATGAGTACTTCTGGCTTACATTTTTTTATACATATACCAGGTATTGGAACAGAAGAGCCTAACAACTGGGCATTTGATACAACGCAATTTGATAGCATCCTCAAAAGGCTGAAAGTGGTATCATGGCATTTGTGTCTTCAATCATTCAAATCAATCCCTAGTATTCCTATGCAATTAATTTGTCTAATGTATTAATGTGTTATGAACTATTTGGCAGCAAGTAACTGAGATGAAGAAGGATGAAGGTACACCAATTTTGAAATAGAATATTTTCATTTACGTTGAAAGTTCAAATACTAGAGCAATTATTCTTAGGCTAACTCTGTTTCCATCTAACAGTTAGTGGTAATGATGAAATGCCTGTGCGTGAAGAGACAGAGAATTCCCAAAACAGCAAAGAAACAGTTTCTAAAGTCACACGTCCACAAGGAAGGTAACTGCGATTACAATACGATTTTTAGTGTGCGGAAGTTCCTTGACTCGCTGCTTTTCTTTTTCATTTCCTTTTTCATTTACCCCAGTGCCGCAAAAGGCTCCCACCTATGGTTGGGTAAGGGGGGTCGGATGTACGCAGTCTTACCCCTGTACTATAGCACAGAGAGATTGTTTCCGGATGACTCATAGTGAAAATCGCGTCCAAAATTGCAAGGACTGACTGTTGCTTCATAACAAAGAAGAGCAGACAGTTTAGTAAGCCATTTTGCTTTATTCCATCGCTGCTAATGGTTTATTATTCATTGTGTGCCAGATATAAGAAAAGAGAAAGAGGCAAGCATGTCCATTTGTACTCTTCTCATGATCTTGAAGGAATTCTGGTCAGTCTTGTTATCTATGTTTCCTTCCCTGTTCAATTCTTAAACTTTTCTTCAGTGGCAGTGCTTGTTGTAACATAGTTGTTTTTGCAATCCTTGTTATATTCGTATGTCCATTTCTCTAAGCTGTTTTCTCATGATTTTTGCAGGTAAAGAAGGCAAAGCCTTCACCAGCAGATGAGGTTCAGAATGTCGTAGAGGTAGTACAAGCATCTCAAATCCAGGTTCCTAGTGCCGAAGGTAATCTCTAGGGAAGCACACTCTTAGAACCCGACTACTAATTTGGCTCCTCCAAATTCTAACTACTAACAGCTTAGGGAATATTGTGCTTCAAAATTAATACAAGGTGAGAAATATGAATTAGAAACAGATACTAAATGTCTAAATCATGAGTGAGGACTGAAGATACTACTCACACACAAAATGTCGATCATGTGATGCTCATGCTTGTCACGGCGTTGCCAGTGCTGGATACTGGCTACTGCAACCCTTTTTGTACCAGAAAGCCATAGCCGCAAGTCCATGCAGCTCACCATCACACTCGCAGTAGCCCTCCCCTCACATTAGCCATCGCCTTCGCTATTAGGCTGATCACGATATCTTAATAGCCATCAGTCCGTCAGAGTTGCACTACACGACTTCGGTGTGAACTCGGCAATGTTTATGAATTTAAGGCTAATATGTACTTATTCCTTAATACATTGTAAATAAGGTCTGAAAACGACTTTTAGTACTCAAAAAGATCTTTCCAGCGAGATAAAAAACGCTTGAAATTGAAGAACATGATCAAATAATATACTTAGCTTGTTTTATGTAAATATAGAGTTTTGAGAGTAAATAAAACATATCAGCATAAATAGAGTCTTAAATTTGAATTTTAGGCTGATATGTACGTATCCTTCAATATTTTGAAAGCGGAGCCTAAATACGAGTTTTAGAACTCTATAAGATCTTCCCAAGGAGATATAAAATGCGTGAAATGCAAAGAAACAGAAAGATATCATCAAATCAAATGCAAGATTTTAGCTTAATATGTTCAATTATTGTTTGTGATTGTCAGATGCTCTCTTTGTATTTATTCCTCTAATTTGTTTCAATATTTTTTACCCAAAGTTCTAAACTATTTCAGATTCATTCACCAATTTTTCCCCTGATATTCGTTATGTAAATTCATTTTTATAGTTTACATTCTGTACAGAATAGTCGTAGTTGAAAGTGAAAGTACACAATTTTAGGAATATTATACTCCTCTTTTGAGCTATTAAAGCCTTCTTCTGATTCATTAAACAATTTGTTTAATTTTTGTTTGTAATACAATTTAATCTGTTATAAATTACTGTGTTGTGTTGAAATATTATGTATTATACGTGCTGTGACTTGTCACCTAGGCGGCGCCTAATTAGCTATAATGTGGCCCATTGGGCCGCACCTTGCCTACCGGCTGCCACAGCCTTGCTTGTTCTATGGTACTTCAATGAATTATTACTTTGGTGAGAATAAACTATTGATGAAAAACATGCTCAAAAAAATTCATCAAAAAATTTCACGATGAAGGGCCCCAAATGGCCTCGGCCAGACGGCGGTTCCCGTCATGCCGGCTTGACCGGGAAGAGTGTTAATTGTTTCCTAAAATAGAAACGAGAACCTTTATTTGGGATGTCCAAAAAAGGAAAGTGGCAACCTTAGAATGGGATGAAGGGAGTATATAGTTAGTATCTTAATCAGTTAATTTACAAGTAGTTTTCTTCATATGCATGGTTAAAGTTAAAAGTACATGTCTCTTAGAAAATAAAATTAAAAGGTGAAAAAAAACTGTTTGGCGAATCTAGGTGGCCAATTAGGCGCTCTGGGAGGGAAACTTGGCGCCATAGGCGGATGACTAATTCACCTAGATGCCAAACCTATTTTCTTGGACGCCTAGAATATTCTGGGCACCCAGCCATCACCTAGTGCCTAGGCGAGGGCTAGTCGGGTGCCTAGGGCGACTTTTATAACAGTTGATGATATATTTCATATAACGTAAATCGTTTGCACTAACAACTACTTAAAATCCCTGATAGTAGCAAATGATTATGACCAGCAAGAGTTATGAACTATTCATATAGAAAAATTAGATTATGAAAGATGTTAAGAGGTCAAGAGAAGTACGAAACATAAGCTGCTGGACTGCTGGCCATTCAATTGAACATGAATGACAACACTGTCCATACTCCATATGGCCTTTTGAAGATATGATACTTTGCACGACATTTTACCTGTTCTTCAGCAGGTTTCCGAAGTTCGAAGTTGCGAGATCTGTATGGTGGAGTTGTGGATAAGGAACAGACTTCAGCAGTTCAGCTAGAAAGGAGAGAAAGAGATGATATGATAATGGAAGGGATTTTTAATAATGGGTTAGACTGATTGCTGATGTTTAATATGAGTATTAAACATTTATTCAAAAAGGCCTAAATCTGTATTGATGGGAAAAGAAAGCTGAAACCCATAACCTTAGTCAGGTGCATGGTTTAAAAGGCGGTTTTGAGGCACACTTCGGCGAACAAAAAAAACTTTGAGGCTTAAGCATCAAGTGAATTAAGTCATGAACCTGATGTAAGGCTCAGATGGTTGACACATTTTGTGAGGCTCAAAGCCTTAAACTCACTACACTTTCTGTTACGAAACTTTCTTAGTAAAATAAAAATAAAAATTTTAGCTTGAAGGAAAATTTATAGAATATCAATATGTTTTTTAAAACGACATTACCTTAATGCTTCTCCTTTTATTTTATTTTTACTCCATTGAGTTTCAAACCCGAAACCTCCTATAAGAGAGAGACCTCCTGTAAGAGAGAGTGAGTCGGCGACCAGTTGGGCTGGACCGCTTCCTCACCTTAATGCTTCTCCTTTGACAAAATTATTAGTTATGGAGCTAACTAGTAACTGTACGTCGTCTGTACCTCTCTACCAAACACGTCCAGATTCATAGTATTATTATAAATTCTAAATCACACAACTGACTTTTATTTCAATACACCACATCTCAATACCTTCTTTTCACAGTTTAACTTTATACCAAACTCTGCCCCTGATCTATATCATGATATCTAGAATGTTTTGAAAATGAAAAATGGGTGATGCAAATAATTGAACATATAACATTTAAGTCTCTCTTCATACACCTTTAAAAAAGTCTATTTGTTATCATAAAAAGATGACACCCCATCCCTGAAGGCTCAAGGACTGGCCGGATTGGAATTTAATCAAAGACTGATAGATAGAGGGTGGGGTTTTTGCCCAGGTCTTTACCCAGTGTCGAACCCGGGACTTACCCCTTCGGTCACTACTCACTTCCTACCAATTGAGCAACGCCCCCGGCAAAGTCTGTGTATTTTTATGTTGACTCTTAGCACTCCAAATCAATGTCCAAAACTCTTTTTGAAGCTAACCCTTAAGGAAATAGTTGTTTGATGGTGATAGCATAGAGCTATATTATACCTTTGTATCTCATTGTTATGTAATTATGTTTCTATATTGGTAATGCAGATCAAGTGGTCACACCAGATTGGTGGGGTCATAAATTTGGTTTTGTCATGGGCGGTTTTCTAGGGGCACAAAGTAGGCAAAAGAAGTCATCTGCTGCAGATGAGCTAGATTTCAGTAAGAGAACTACATTCTGCGAGGATGATCAAGAAAATCTCTACAATCGTGCTCAAGTATGTCTTATCTTTGGTTTTCCTGTCCTGTAAAATTTGAATAGTAAGCCTAAATTATCTTTGGAGGATCAGACTCCACAATACAAGACTGGCAGGCATAAAAAGTCTAGCAGGCACTCTTAAACACAGATGCCATAATTTAATTCCCTGAAGTGTGTGCTGATTATTGTGTTTATGGGTGGGGGATTGCCGAACAGTATAAAGTTGTCATTTGGCCTAAAAACATCAAGTGCTCTTTTTCTACATATTTGCACTTGAACAAAGGGTGCTTATTTAATACGTTAAAGCTTTTGCCAGTAGCACATATACCCAATTCACATCCTTGATTGTTATCCTACCTCTAGTTTTGTTACAAGGAGTCCCTTATTTCATGGGGTTGAGAACCTTGGAGCTTTTGCAATGTACACATCATGTGTAATAGAAACTCTACTTATCAGAACATATCAATAAGCTATTTGAGTTGAAGAGTAATTCTTAGATGCGTTTCAGAAATGCGGTGTCGAATCATTGATGAATCATTATAGCATAGCTGATTCACTCCGTATGTAGTTCTATTTTTAACTTCGAGCAGTTGTGGTATAAACATTTTGTTACTTGACTCTATTTGGGCTTTGGAGTATGTAACCAAAGTAGATGTATTTCCATAAGACTGAGAAGCAGATAGATGACGTTTTCCTTTGATTCGTCTAATGTCAGAATAAATCCACTTCTGGGAAACAAGGTTTGGGCATCAAGGACAAGCCGAAGAAGGTTGCTGGTTGCTTCTTTCAGGGGAAAAAGACATCTTTTGATGACAGTGATGTGGAAAATTCCTCTGATTCAAATTTGCCAATGAAAGCAAAAAATATTGACTTTTCCAGGTTTTGTGAGAATGTTGAACCAAAATTGAAATTAAAAAAGTTATGTAAGCACCTCCTTAAACAGGTACCTCTTAGATCAAGGGTTAGAATGTCTTGTGAATGGACGAGTAATTTATGGTGGCTTTGAATTAGCTTATGAAAGCTTTTCCTATGACATTTGGCTTGTTACAGGCACCTGGGAACTCTTTGAAACTAAAGAAACTCAAAGTTCTTATTGATGATCAATCAGCAGGGGTGTTTGACAACTTCTCTAAAAAAGATGCTATAGCTCATTTGAAGCGCAAGGTAAGATCACCACATCATAATTTTTTTCCACTTCTATTAATAGAACTTGTTATTTCGATTCATGTGATGTCATGTGACTAAGTGCAAGGATTCATCCTTTTTTGTTATCTTTTTTTATCATATCTTATCTTCTTATCTTTCTTTTCCTTTTGGCTTCAATATTATGTATGGATTCATGTTAGCTGATCCCAATTTTGGGATTAAGGCTTGGATGTTGTTGTATAAACAGAACTTATTGTACCTTTTTTTACCAACCTTATCTTTTTATCTTTCTTTTCCTTTTGGCTCCGATATCATGTATCGATTCATGTTAGCCAACCCCAAAATCTTTTGGGACTAAGGCTTGGATGATGTTGTTGTTGTTAAACAGAACTTCTTATCTTTTTAAGTCTTGGATGTTGTTCTATAATCAGAGCTTACCACCCTTTTCCATTAAACCTTGTGTTTTACAGTTTGAGAGGTTTGATCAATTATAAAGTTGGCACCTCCTTGGCAAAATTTAAATTAGAATTCATATTTAAAATTCATATATTTGGAGAACAAAAATGATTTGTGTTGACTATGAATGGTAGACTGACAAAGTTTAGTCAGTAGTGACTAGTGTAGCATGTTATTCCAAAAACCATAATACGTAGTATATGTTTTCCACTTGTGTAGCACTTATATCACGATGCATCAATGGTTTCAGATAGTTGTTTTTGCCACGTCTCATTCTGAAATGGGAAATAAAACTTTAAACACCTGTTATCAAAATCCAAAACATCCTATTTTATCATATATTTTTCTTTCTGACCTGCCTTTTTACGTTCATCCAGCTTGAAGGCAGTGGCAAATTCTCTGTGGATGGGAAGCTAGTGTCTCTGACTTGAGAGGCTGAAAACATCATTGCAGATTCGGGTGACACATTCATTGTACATGTGAGTGAGATACCAGTTAGATCATGATATGTTCGCAGGCGGGAATAGAAAGTCACTCATTTTATAGTATTTTCAGTTTTGTACTTTTTAATAATATAGGATTCTGAGGGAAAGGATAGGTTTGGAGGTCTGTTCATATTGAAATTTAATTCTAGCCTTAAACCTATCAAATTTTGGTACGGAGAAACCGTTTTGAAGCTTGGTTTGGAGATGTAATGCTACCTTTTTTGTGTTACAAGGAACTTAGTACCTTTCCACGACTGAGTCACTTGCTAACCATATAAACCGCCAGTTACCATGGGTGGGCATGTGTCGGTCTAGGTTGGGCTATCCTTCACTTTTGAAAAACAATCAGTTTCTTCAAATGGATAGGGTCAAATCTGGTATATGAATTACCATAAAAGGTGTTGAACTTAACCTGTGATCCGTTTGAAACAAGTGGATTAGGTCTGTGTTTTCATTCATTTTTTTCTTGCAAAAAGCTAAAACACACTGATAAAAAGAAGTCATCCGCTAGTTGCCACTTGCCAACAAATAGGTATTGGCAACTGATCCTGAACATCTATAGATAATATATTTGAGAGATACAATTAGGGAAAGTTTTGCCATGTGTCATCTTCTATATAAACATTTAATACAATATTTTAGATTATCCTTCCAATTTTGTTCTCCGTATCACGTTACATTACAATTTATGTCAATTTTAGATAAATGTCCTGCTTTCATTTCCGGTCCGTCCCAAAATAAATGTCTCGCTTCTTTAACTTCCTTATTTGGTAAACAAATCTTTACCAAACAGTGCAAAATAGTGCCAAACAGTGTTGTTACAGTGCTAAACAGTGTGCAGTCAAATTCATTTTCTTAATCTGTGTGAAAGTTAAAGCGGAACGTTTATTTCTGGATGGAAGGAGTACCATATTTATGTAAAATTTTCTCAAATGTCCATAGACCGGACATCTATCATATCAATTTAGGCAAGACCAAATTTAAGCACATCAGACCAATTCATATGAAAAAAAATTTCAATCCGATCAAAACAAACTTAGAACTCCATATTGATTGAGAATTCAACAAATCTCCTGAGACATTCTTCACAATCTAATGTCCTCAAATAACACTAATAAGTGTAATAAAGATATTTTTAATTAAATTCAACCCCTTATATAATCTAGAGTTTTGACTCTTAACCACACCAGAACTTCATAGGGGTTGTTTGGATTCCATCACTTTGTGCCCAACCCGTTGCTAATAACAGCGTTTTCTTTGTAAAAAATGACGTTTTCTTTTGTAAAATATATATTTTGAAATACATATTAGATTAGAATTCAACAAATCTCATGAAACATTCTGCGCATTCTAATGTCCTCAAATAAAACTAATAAGATAATAAAGATGTTTTTAATTAAACTCAATCCCTTATACATAGTACTACGAATTTTGACTCTCTCTAAGGATGCTTTTACTTGAACTGTTTTCAGTCTCAGGACAGACCAAACTAAATCAGATTTGGATAATTATAAAATACGCACAGGTCAGACATATACCAGATCAATCTAGTTCATACCAGATCATATTAAAAAATTTCAGTCCACGTAAATAATCCTAAACCACACTAGAGCTACATAATCCCAAAACTACATCCTCGGGGCATCTTTATAAGTCTAGAGGCCCCAGACAGAAAAACAGTTCAAAACAATAAATTTTAAATGTAAACACACACAAAACGAACCAAAATTTACACTTCCTCTACACCAAGTAAAAACTATCACGCTTTTTTAAAAGTTCCATTTAAAAAGTTCACATTTTTATTTTAGAAAACTATTAACTATCTTAAATGACAAATTAACCGTCACATATTAAAATTAATACTCTCATAACATTGCACTTATATATGTCACTGATGGATTGTAGGATCCAAGCATATAATATTAAGGAGAGATTGAGCAAAAGAGGTGAGGAATATATATATGAATACTCCATCAGTCACTTTATTATATCATTATATACTTTCTCAAAGTATTTCTTAATTTATTTAAAAACTTCTTATTTAATCATTAACTTAAAAATGTGCCTTTTAAATGGAAACTTCAAAATGAGATGAAGTCGTACTTTTTTAATTTATTACCCTACAATTTTTAATTTTTGTTTGCCGAGTAACATACTAATTGAAAAATCGCAAATAAAGCTGTCAACAAAAATCTAGAGTTCACAAATACAATAAAAGGAAAAATTAAAAAATCAAACTAAATATCTACTCCCATAAAATTAGATTAACAGTACTTCAAAAATTCATGAATATGGTGCCAATTAATTAAAGCTAAAATTACCAATATAACAAAAATGAGAAAACCAAGAGCCCGTTTGCAGGTGATTTTTCAGCTTACTAGACTTATCAATCAACTTTTTCACCAAACACATATCTTTAATTTCGATCCATGAATTATGCATTTAATAATAAGAAAAAGTAAGGTTGGAGTTACTTTTATGGTTGTATTGGCTGAAGTTACTGTATAGTTTCATTTTTGCGCACTATTTTTCATGTATTATTTCTTTATTTTATTAATAAAATATATTTTAAATATAATTGTTTCATAAACCAGTAGAAACGACCAATCCAGTCACTTCAGCCATAACTTTATAAATATCAGCAAAATCAATCGATTCAGCCATTCTAACTCAAGCCCAGAACTACACTGCCCTTAAGAGCTTACCAGACCGATATGATCGGACTAGATTGGATTGGCCAAAAATTTTCATTCCAATTAAACACACATTTAAAGGAGTTCTGCCTAAAATTTAGAACTCATATTAAATTAGAATTTAGATCAGACCATACCACACAAACCAGATCAGATCAGATTAGAAAGTTTCATTCCAATCATTATCAAAATATGTCTTGATGTATATGTATCCAATTTATTCCCATTTGTGTTTGGTTAAGATTACGGGAATGTGATATTGATTTACTTGGTTGAAAGATATCTTATAGTGCAGATATGGTGAATTACTTCAATGCCCTTTAAATATTTTATCTTAACACAATAAATCTATTACAACCTGGATCTAAAGTAATTAAAATTAAATAAAAATGAAATATCTTAATAATAAATAAAATCAAACCTAATTGAATTATTTTTAAGTACACTATGTTTAATTGTAAAAAGTTGTAGATCCCATCAAAAGTGAAAAAAACTTTGTTCAATCTAAATATATTTATTATTATTTCAAAAGAATTAAATTTAAAAAATGCTCAAGTTATTCATAAAACTTCTTTTCAAATTAAAGGAAAAAAGATCAATTTTGCCATTAATTTTGTAAGGGGCATTTTGAGTTTGTACCCCACTTTTTGGTTGATATTGGACTTTGCACCCCATTTTCAAAACTTTTAGACTTTGCATCCTATCGACAACATTTTGTGAAGAAAAAATCCTGAATAAGGTGCAAGGCAAAGACATTTTAGGAGAAATAGGGTGCAAAGTCTAAGTAAGAGTTTTGAAAATGGGGTGCAAAATTCAATATCACCCAAAAAGTGAGGTGCAAAGTCAAAATATCCCTTATATAAACCATTTTGTAATCCACTCATCAAAAACTTAAATAATCTATAAGTCTTATAAAATTAATAACTTAAAAACTGTAAATGTTAAGAAAAAAAGAATTATGAAAATAACAAGAATAGACATTCGAATATAATTAAATAAACATATTCCATCTGTCCTACTTAAATGGTTGTCACACGATCAACAATTGGCTGACCATAAAATTAACTGATTTCTTTCAATTATAAAATTATTCTTTAGTAAATATAATTTACATATTTAGAAATTGCATTAAAAGTTTTATAAAATTGCACTATATAAAGACATTAAATGAAAGGAAATAATTAATTGAGGGTATTTTCGGAAGAAAATTAGACCATCATCGGGAATGTAAGATACCCTAAGGCATGAGTGGTTATAAGATTCCCTCCATATTACATTCCCGGGAATGTAACTTTTCTGATTTTTTCTCAAACCCGTGAACCAAAAATGGGTATCTGACATTCCGTGTATCACATTTCGGCCTTCATGTGAGATTACCCCCAAACCAAAAATCCCGTAATGTTATTTTTCCTTTATTCCCCCTCTATTTGATGATATCGTTGTTTAAAGTGGACATATTATATTTGATAATGTCATTGTTTGAGATTAAAAATTGTTAAGCACTTCCAAATCATTTCAATAGAATTGTATAAAAAAATTCTAATTACTTCTAAATCATCCGTTAAAATTGGGGAAAAAATTGAAACATCATAAAATGAAAAAGGGAGAAAACTAAAATGGTGCATGTGTTAAGTACACATTGTCTTAATGATATTCTCAAATTTATGTTCAGCTTTCTTATTAAAGGTTCTCATTGCAAAATGACATTGTTATTTAAACAATAATTAAATAAGGTAATTTGAATATATTTTGAAAAATAGTTTTGATGGATACATAACATAATGGTGTCATTGATGATAAATGTGATGCTATAGATGCATTATTTTTAATATTTGATGATTAAATTGTCATTTAAGAGTATTAATTGTTTTCAAAAACAGAAATGAGAACATTTATATGAGACGTCAAAGAAATTAAAGTGTGAACCTTAGAATGGGATGGATGGTTTTTGTTTTTTTACTTTAGTGTATATATTAATATAATCTTGATATTTTTTGACTGAGATCTTCAACTCCTTGAAAGTTTTATTAATAATAAAATATATACCAACAATATCCCGACACTAAAACTGTTGTTTAAGAGATAGATAAATAAGCTAGATTGTGTATAAGTGGTATTCCATAATCTTTTTAGTAATGAATCGATGTAACTTTAATATAATACTATTTGTTCATCAAATTTGAGATCATTTTTCATTTTTTAATATGGAACTTTTTTTCATCAAATAGTTTGGCATGTTTATGTTTCAATTATATATTAGCTACCACTTGATGTAAGAGTCTTTTTACAGATTTATTTTATTTAGTCTTCTAGGTAATTTTTTTTACTGAAAGTCTAAAATACGCAATCTTTGTTCGTTGAATAGCCCTTTATTTTACTTAATAAGATGATAATACTCCCATTCTAAGAAAATCATAATACCTTGAATACATCAATCTAATGAAAATGAATCAACTGCTATTAATCGTGTTATGCAATAAACTGTTGTCACAGCCCACCCAAATCAGAATGTCACAAAACTATATATTCTAAACTCTTTCCTTAAAGATAGGATCGATGGACTAATTTCCTAAATTCTAAATCTAGAAGGGCTAATATTTTTAAAAAAATGACTCCACCCATTATTAAG